TTTAATTAATATTACATTTTGCATCTGTTTGCTTTCAACAATGTCCATATCTCAAATGTAAACACGAGTATCAATACAACAATTCGCTATTGCTTGGTCGACAAAATTTCATGAAAATAATATTCAGACGTTTCATTTTACGCACAATAAAGAAACCATTTATTTCAATTAACTATTTCAGATTCCGTTTGTAAAATATTTGAGATATTCATTATACATTTGTAACATCAATTAAGTATTTCATTGAATACAGATATAAAATGCTGTTTCAAACGAAGCATATGTAACACAGTTGAGAAAAATGGTACATATTTACAAATGTTCGCATTTCTAAGCTGAAATATTTGTGCCCAAGCCTGGTTACCACACGCATGACGAGTTAAACACACAAAGGGACGCTAAAACGTTCACTAAAACGACGATTTTACGGCCCGATAAATTGTGGAATTTAACCGGACCCACAAATCATTCTCCGGACGATTATAAAGAGTCGTCGCCCGAGATTTCTAATTGACACGTCCCCATAAAAACGCCGTTGGAGTCGGGACGTGAAATGTCGCCGCGAAGCGTTCAATAGAAAGAGAATAGAGGAGTCGAAGGGAGGACTGCCCTCGTAAATCAAGCCGAGGAGTTGATCGAAATTCGCGATCCATCGGCGAATTGGTCGGTCCCGTTAGCTGGCCAGAAATTGCAAGGAGAGAACGATCGCGATCTTTTTATTTCTTTTCCGGGCGCCCTGGGCTACGATAATTAAGGACAGCCGATTACAGAGCCCCAAGGAGACCCTATCACCTGTTCCTTCAAAAGAAAATAACGCTATTCTCGCCACGTTCTCGCGAACTTCGGTTTCTGCTACCTTGTTAATCGCGTTTCTATGCGCCGAAGTTTCGGAGTCATTCCTGACACTGAAACTTTCGTTCATTATACCGTCGTTAAAAACTTCGGAGCTAAGCCTTTAAGTGAGTCACTGTACCTAAGAGTACCCCTCTAATGACATCACTTTTACAGAATTTTTAGGGCTTTGGAAACGAAGCCAGATAAATTGAACGTTAATGCTAGAAGTAACAAAACAGGTAAAATGACTGGTTTGCAGCTTTCTCATTTTAAAAAAAAACTTATTCAATCAAGTACATATTATAATACAAATTAATATAATCAGCAGTCCATTTATTTAATGGCACTCGTAACACGTGGTAATAACAACTCAATTCCGCTTTGATTAATATTTCTAAAATTTCTAGAATTTCTTCAAACTATATTATTTATTCGCTTGAAAAATTAAAAATTTAAGTATTTAATACACTAGAATCTCCTCAAATTCTCAATTTTATTATATTCTTTGTAGAGTTATCTCTTCCATAACAAGGAACTATTTCTTATCACAAAAGCAGTTGCCGCTATCTTATAACGGACATCATTAAGTAACATAAGGAGAATCTTTTTCCGTTATTTGAAATGATGCTTGATTATAGAGTAAAAATTAGTTAACTCTACGTTACTTACTTCTCTCTTTTGAAAATACCGTATACGCTGTGATTTGATCTTGATAAGAAAGTGAAACGAAAGTAAAACGAAATCGTAAATTCCACTCTAGTTAACATTTGAACGTGCGACTGTACTTTCCATCGTTTCAGAAATTCAAAGTGCTCAAAATAACGGTTAATTATCATTAAGAAAACCTTGTATTTAGTTATCACGTGCGTCATGAATGCATAAAACTTGCAATTTATTCGTAACAGTTTACAGTAGCGATTTCGTACCGAAGCAGAAACTAGCATTTTCTTTCGTTCAGTATTTATCGCTAGGCTGCGGATTTTATGCATTTATATATATTATTATTATTTCATACATATTATTATTATTATTTTATACATATACATATTTAATGCATTAAAATATGAAACGGTGAAAGCATCAGAAAAATTTCAGAATTCCGTTACGCTATTTTTAACTTACTAAAATTTTCGAGAAAGAAAACACGTTTTCATGTTGCGTCCGATCTGAACAATGCACTTGGAAAGTTTTTGCTCTATCTAAGGACCCTAGTAATCACAGTATCGTCAGTTATCATTTTCCAAAATAACGAAATCTCCAACAGTCAATAAATCATAAACGTTTCCCGGAAACCGGCGTCACACAGAAATTAAACGCGTAAAGAATTTTCTGCTCCAATTCCGTTAGCCGTATTTTATAAAATATTCCTACTCGGTTGACTCCAAGAGAATCGCTTCCCGCGATCGAATCGTCCGCAAATTTGTTCTGTACACCGGGTTCGGCTCGGCTATCATTGACAAGAATTCTCGGCCGAGCTGCCGCGAACAAAGCGAACCTATTCTAGCACCTAACTAACCACGCACCTAAGCATAATTGAATTTCACGCGGAATTAAGCCGGCCGATCGAGTCCCTTTTAATAATGCCCCAGCGACGTTCAATATTTATAAAGCGGCTGCATAACGGGACAGGGACGACAAGGTTAACGAAGGTCTTGGGGAAGCGTCTGTAATTAGACGACATTTTGTTCGGTGCAAAGCTCTGGGACGTGGCTGCTTCCTGCGCTCTTTTCCTCTATCTCTCTATCTATCCTTCTTTCATTATCTCTCTCTCTCTCTCTCTCTCTCTCTCACACACACACACACACACTCATTCTCTCCTTCTGTATCATTCTCTCTCGTGGGGCGAGTATTTGTAAAGGACCTGCGTTAAGACCCGGAGGACCTACTTACTGGTTCGGCCACCTGCCTTTCAAGTCCTAAAAACAAGACCAACACGGCTCCAACTTCCCTCTGCCGAACTTTCCTGTGACCTTCTTAGGGCGAACCCTTCGCTCGATTCTTTATTCCCTCTTTTGAATATCGAATCTCGGAAAGGCCCGCTCCAATAGGAGATTCTTTATTTATTCAACAGATCGGAATGCTGGATGAATGCGTTCGCAGTTCTGTGGCACTGTCTGACGTAATGTTTCATTTTACACAATAAATAATATCGTGGTATAGGATGATTCAAACCTGTAATTTAGTAACTTATTGTGTGTCGAGGCTACGGTCTAGTCGAGTGGATTATTAATGGACTGCGGATTTCTATGCGAAATCAAAATTGTCGAAGTTCGTATAGGAAACGTGACAGATAAAAAAGATATATATATATATATATATATCTTTACACTATTTACAACTTATTAAAACTATTAAAAGACGAAAGACAGTTTATATATATATATATATATTCTGTAATTCGTCTCTGATATCCTGTCTGCACAGTTTCGTTTTCTAGTTAGTCGGTTTTGTGAAAAATTCATCGTTGCGAGTTCTGCAAATACATTCATTGCTACCGTTGCTTGTTATTCCATTGTTGAGTTTATTTCTGGTTTGGTTCAACAATGCCGTTACTAAATACCCGGGAAGAATGAATTTCTATTTTGAATTTTGACCTTAACAGGGACGACATGCGTAACCGATCCAACGATTCTTGATTTACGACCGCGCTAATATACTTCAACTTTTTATTGTTTGCTCGATAAAACATTGAGAAGCGTTGCGAATAAATGCGATTTGCTTCGAACGGAGACATCGAATGCGCAGGAATTCATGGGCTACCCCAGTTTCGGGAATAAGGGGTGAGATCATCTCTCTGCCACCTGGGGTGGCGACAATGTGTCCCATATATCACGTAAAAAGCTTTTAGTTTGATCTAAAATATCGAAAAAAGGGGAACACGTCACCGGTCGTTTTCTGACCAAATAATTTGTAACACACGGTCCAACCCTAAGTAACAATCGAAAACCTGTTACCCCAATTTTTCTACAAAAAGCATCGTGGATAAAGCTCGCCAGGTTTCAATCAAAATGGACGAGATTCGCAAATTATTTTTTTGGCGAGTTCATTAGTATTCGTGGAATTATATAAGCTTACAGATTAAATGTCTCTTGTTTAATACGGCTCGTAATGGAAAATGGATTATACTTTGATCGAAACATTTCTGTAGTTTGATATGTCACTATGCACTAGGGAATATAATATTCCATAAATTTATTTAACAAAATTAATCGTTTATCACGTTGGCAGCATTGCATTGCGTTGTTAACATAAGCCCCCTCGCAACGGTAATTGTTATTAAGGGTAATTATAATTAATTCAGGTTTTACAATCGAAATAATCAAGCGTTACTCCAGTAATATGAAAATTCATGATATGAAAATAACATAAAATTCCAATAAAAAGTCTTGTAACAACTTCCATTCTCTCATTTTCTGTAACATGTGAGCTTTGTAATTTATAAAATATTTTGGAGCAATTATTTATCACATCTTCGAAAGTATGACAACAATTTATTCTCTCTAGTGGCCATCAGAATATTAAAATGATTAAAGAACCGACTACATTCTAATCTGCTGTCAGAAACGATGAAAGAAAATCCTAAATAATTTCCTTCGATCTACACCTGCTAGAATCTTTATCTCATTAATCATAACATCGTGATCACAAGCTTTCGTTACCCAGTGTCGTCAACGTGCTCTTTCGATAACACAGCTGAAAATGCCTCGTAGCTACACGTTTCTCGGAGCCTCGTTGCTCAACTATGATTTAACCTTTTGCGGACGAGGACTCTCCAAAGTGTTAAGAATATTTCCCCCAGAAAACTGGATTACGCGTCGAAGACTTAACACTAATAGTAAACAATGATAATAAAACCGAATCAGATTATATCGTACGAAATAGGTTGTGGAGTCTCGATGTCGTTAATACGTCGACATTCAAAAGCTTAAAAACCTATCGGCCGCATCATAATTCACACCGTATCGGAGGAACCTGATCGGATGGCTAGCGAAAGGAACGTGCATAATTAAACAGCAATCAGCGGAAACACTTTGTACGCTCATCTACAAAGAAAAATCTCCCGTTCGGATTACCGAAACGACGGTGTTACCCTGTGCGACAAATTTCCCATTCAAACCTCGGCAAACAATGCAGCCGGTGTCAAAACGTTTCCCACAGCGCGGTACCTGAATGAATCCCAGCGTCCACGTCGGCGTCCTCGAAGACAGACGACTCGGTGCCTTCGTCATTATCCACGACAGAGTCATCGGGCGTCTCGTCATCCTTGGATTTCTCGCTGCCTGATCGGTTCTCGTTTCTGGCAGGCGTCGCGACGCCGCAGGGGCTGTCGACCGACACGTGCCTGCCGGGCACCTTGACCAGGGTGCTGGTGCTCCTGGCTAACTTGGTGCTGTGGGTCCTGCGTATCAACAAGTTGGTGAACGTGGTGTTCCCATTCTGCTTGCTCCTGGTCTCGGAGGACGCGTTCTTGGCGGCTCCGTTCGCCTTCGACTCGGCGATCTTTCCGGCCCGCTTCTCTTCGGTCTTCCTCTTCGGGTCCTCGTCCTCCACCTCGAAGCAGGCGATCGTGTTATTCAGACGGTTGTCCTTCCTGCTGGCGTCCTTCCTGCCGGTGAACCGGCTCTGGAATCTCTCGATGGTCTTGAACGACCTGGTCCTCTCGACCTTCTTCCTCTGCTCGGACCCGGCCACCGGCGGCTGCTGCTCGCTCTTCGGCGTCTCGAAGATCTTCGTCAGCGACTGCACCTTGCCCCGCGACTCCGGGAACGAGTCCTCGGGCCTCTTCGCGCTGGACATCGACTCATTGTTGCTCAATGTCCGCGTCAGGATCACGGTGGGCACCGCCTTGCTGATCGGGAACGTGTTGCTGGCGAACTTGTCCGGGTCGGCGCTGATCGTCTTCGGGATCTTGGACGGGTGCCGGGCCTCGCCGTCCAGCGACACGTAGAACGTCGACCGCCGCTTCGGGGACTCCTCGAGATTCTCCGCGTTCAACATGTCTCCCCTGCTCGCATATCAATGGCCTCGAAGTACCGCCGAGCTGCCGCCCGAATTCTGCGCAAGACCGAGCATCCTAGAAGAGTCGATCCTCTAGCGGCCACCTAGATCGAAACACGTCCTAGTCGTCTACGGGGCTCTATTGCTCGTTGCACGAAGATCGCGCGACTCGGTCCTCGTTTCCGCCGTAAATCAAACCAGGAGGACACCATAAAATGTGTGCCACACGTGTGCGACCAGGCCCCGAAGTTACTCCGAACGTACCAGTCGGTGGTCCACCGGCGGGAGTGTCCTCGAATTTACCTTACGGTCCGGCGGAGAGGGATCCAGGCGCGACCGCGGTCGAGGGCCCCGAATTGCTCGGCCAGGCCCAGAGCCCTCTAAATATAACCGAGCAGCGATCCGAGAGCACGTGTATCGCGAAAAACAAATACGGTCTTCTCGGAGTGCTGGCAGCAGCAGATAGCGAGCCGCGTCCAGCGTTCCCTCTATCGACGCTCGTTCTCGGCAGCCGTTTATCGCTGACCTCTGCGCAGCAGCCGCACCACACGAACAGACTGCCGTGGGACCTATCACTTTCTGGGGGTGGTATCACCTTCGGAGCACCTGTTAATCACCTGGTTCCTAACCGAAACAACACTCGACGACCACGGGCAATCCGACCGCGGAGATAATGGGCTGAGGAATGCGGGGAACGGCACCGACCCGCGCGACGGGCCCACGGACTCGGGCCGAATGCTCGACGCGTCGCGGCAACGAGAAAACGCGACGATCAAGACGAGTATCGAGAGATCGAGACGACACGGATATCACGGGATAGGGACACTCCGGCACGAGGTAAAAGTAAAAGGGTCTGAGTCACTGCCACGGAATCGGGCCCTCTCGCGGCCCCGGGGACCCGTCGCCTCGCTCCAGGAATGCGCGCAAACCGCCCGGATGAGCAACCAGCATCTCTCTCTCGGCCGTTTCTTTTTCCAAGGACAAGCACCACGGGTTTTCAGACGCACACGCGCCGCGAGCGAAGGGATACGAGCAGCGGCGTCGCACGATCGTCCGCACCGCAGACGGGCTCACGACTATCTGCCCGTTCCGAAGCGGACCGAAGCGAGCAGCGCCTCTGTTGGCCGACCATGGCGAACGCACCGCTCGATGGTGTGGCGAGGAGGATCGAGGACCGACTACGGATCGACGAACGTGTCCGATGCGCTGCTCCTCGGGCTCTTAATTAATCGGATTAGAGAATCGTGTAATTAAAAAGTTTCGAGGGCTCACGTTGTTTTTTTTCGGTTTGTTTGTTTGTTTGTTTGTTCGCTTTATGGGCTGTTCATGGTGTTTCTGGGAACAATGAATTCTTGGGATCGTACACGATGCTTTGGAGAATGTGATTCGGAAAATGTCTTTCGTAACAAGATATTTTTGTCTTGTACTGTATCGTAAATTGTTCGGCGTTTTCGAAGTTAACGGGGACGTTGAAGGCGCTTTTTTCTAGAAAAACAAACCTTGTAGACAAACTATTACGACAGGAAAAGGATGAAGTTCTGTTTACAACATTCTGCTCTTTTAACGCAATGACTGCCAGCCATGAAATAATGTCTAAGGTGTTGTATTGACCATCAAGGCGTCATAAATCGGATTTATTTTTTACTTATTATTGTTTTATTATTATTATTCTTTCTCCAAATTTGATGGTTTCAGGATTTGAAAGACATGAATATTGCGTTGACGATAATTCTCTCCGTTTAACACGTGCTGCAAAAAACTGTTCTTTTTCTATAGCATCAACTCTTGGGGCACCTATTAAAACAGAATGAGTTTTGTACGAAGACAATTATCGTATTACGGCAATTCTTACCATTTTTCTTTCATAAATGACTCAAGTTTTGTAGTAAATTAAACTTATGTAA